CCCCAAAACCCCAAAACCCCAAAACCCCAAAACCCCTTTTTAATTACAGAAATTGAATCATTTTATATGAGCTTAGAAGTTATGCTTGGTTACTGAAATTCACACTCGCAGTCTGGAGTCTCGAGGTTAATAATTTTTGATCTCATAAACCCACATTTTACACACAGAGTGAAGTTCTTAGTGACAGAGTCAAAGTATAGATCATATAGAGCTTGATACTTCTTAGACTCTTGCTCGATAAAAGAGATATCTTTGCCATTAGTCTTAGCAATGTAGTCTCTGATCTTCTTCTTAGTCTTGTTCTGTTCATTAACAACATCAATCATGGTCCTATTACACTTAGAACATGTCTTTGGGTCTGATCTTCTCCAGAAACCTATCGAAGTGCAGTGATCACAAATGAGAAGGATTCCATTTCCTGCATTGAATGATTTCTCACATTCTTGTTCGAATTGGTAGATCTTTAATTTAGGAGAACTTTTCAGATACCCTAAAATCATGGAAGGCTCAAAATATCTCTGGCAGAATTTGATGTCACACTTATAATCGTTCATGATTTTGACTAAGATTTAGACTAAAATCTTACTATTTTCTTGGAACTTTTTCTTCAAGGTTTCGATAGTGTACTTGTGGCAGCAAGGAAGAACTACCATGGCTTCCTTCTGATTAATGCATTTCTAAAGATTATTCATATGAAAGTACTGAATCTTGGTCACTACAGTCCTTCACAAGTTGTTCAGATACTGAAGAATATTCCTGAGTATCATTCTTCTCCTCTTCTTCAGGCACTTGCTCAATCCATGACTCATTTGATCAGTGATTATTGCTATGTTCATTATTATTGAGTTTAATAACGCTTTGGATCACTGAATCCATTGCTTGAGAGTTGTTGAGCTCTCCTTCTGAGGTATAATCACTTTGGGAATCATCTTCACTTTCTTCCTCCTGCTCATCGATGACTTGTGGGCTGTTATCTTCATCTGTCCTTTGAGGAGTTTTCAAATTACTAACATTTGCTTTATTTTGGACTAATTTGAACTGAGAAGAATTCTCTACCTTAATCTTATGAATATCAGAGGCAGTATTTGAAGGAGTCCTCATCAAACTTTCATTAAAGATTGGAGAGCCTGGACTTCTGTTAAGCTTTGTCTCTTCTCTAGCATTCTGCTGGACAAATGTGTAGTGGTTAGGAGCTCTTGTGTGCTCTGTCTGTTTGGATTTTCCACTATCTGAAACATTTTCATTAGCCTGGCTAGAAGTCGGTGCTCCGTCTGGCACATCTTGGTGCTTCAATTCTTCCCTTATCTCTCTTTCTCTGAAATTTGGATGACTCCTCTCCTCCTGGTTTTCTAACTGATTTCTGTCATAAGATGATCTTAGTTCTCTTACTAAATTTTAGACACGAATATTACAATATAAGCTTCTTGCCTTGGATCTATTGTCTTTAAGCTTGCTTAAATCTTCAATTTTTCTGGTATGCTTTTTTGTCTCCTCTGATTGCATTTGTTGTAAAGTTTATATTATAACCCAACAAGGGGTTTTGGGGTTTTGGGGTTTTGGGG